GCTTATTCTACTGAGCCAGCTCCCCAGCCCCCTCTTTTGTATCTTTACCATAAAAAATATGATGAGTTCTGCAGCTGAGTGCCATCCAGTGAGCAGGAGGCTCAGACAGACGTTGTGGTGTGGCTTCCTTCACCCTGCTGCCTGCGTCAGCCACCACGCAACCTGTGGCTCTTCCAGTCAGAATGACAGGGAAGGGTAAAGCTTTGAATCTTTTTAGGACATCAAGGCAGCCATGACAGCACAACTAAAGATTTTCACACCCACAAAAGAAGGATTTCTAGAACTGCTTCACAAAGTAGCAAGAATAATGGGCTGAATGTGTTTAAAGCAAGGAATATTTTGAGGAGGATTACGGGCAGTGTATCTTTCAGCATAATACATTTTAAAAATTTAAATATTCGGTATATTTTTTGATCACAGAAAATCATATTTCATTCAACATGATGATCTTCATATCCATCCATTTTCTTGAAAATGACAGAATTTTGTTTTTCCTCATGGTCGAATACTCCACTATGTATGATGACACATTTTTTTTACCTATTCAGCTGTTGCTGGTTCATTTCTTAGCTGTTGCGAATTGCGCTGCAGTAAACATGGCTCTGCAGGTTTTCCTCCAGTATGCTGACCTTGATTGTGGAGGGCATATACCAAGAAGTAGCATAGCTGGGTTGTCTGGGAGGTCGAGATTTAGCTTTTGGGGAGCCTCACACTGATTTCTCTAGTGGCTGTATGAAGTTACATTCCTCCCAGAAAGGCTCTCTTCTCACATCTTCTTCAGCATTTATAATTTTTTTTTTCAGAGTCCTTGATAATAGCCATTCTGTTTGGTCTGAGATGGAAACTTAATGTAGTTTTTTTTGTTTTGTTTTTTTGGGTTTTTAAAATTTATTTTATATTTTAAAGAGAAAAAATAGACAATAGAACAGTTTCAAAACAGGTTAGTAGAATTACAGGAATTAATACAATGCATATTGCTGTCTTCAAAGTAGCTGTTCAGAGTACAAGATATAGGCATCTATCCTGTCCAAGATATGATAGGCATATCTTGTCCAAACAATATTAGCATAATCCTTTCTTTTTAAAGAACTAAGAAAAACTAGCTGTATATTAACTATCATGTATACAAATATCTATCTTTTTTTTTTTTTTTTTTTTTTCGGAACTGGGGATTGAACTCAGACCCTTGCGCTTGCCAGGGAAGCACTTATTCTATTGAGCCACCTCCCCAGCCCCTGTCTGTGTTTTTGAGACAGGCTCTGTCTATGTAGTTCAGGATGACCTTGAATTTACTATGTAGCCCGGGTTGGCCTTGAACTCATGGTGATCTTTCTGCCTCAGCCTCGCAAGTGCTGGGATTACAGGCATGTGCCACCACATCTGGCTCATTGTAGTTTTTATTGGTATTTCCCTAATGGCTAAAGATGATGTTGAACATTTTTTCATAAACTTATTGGTTATTTGTACTTGTTTTGAGAAGTGTCTATACATTTCATTTGCTCATTAATTGATTGCCTATTTTATTTTTTGGGTTTTTTTTTAGTTCTTTACGTATTTTAAATATTAATCATCTGTCAGAAGAATAGCTGGAAAAAGATTTTGTTGTTGGCAGACTTGCCCTTTTCTGGTTGTTTCCCAGTGTGACGTGGTCCCATTTGTTGATCCCTGCTGTTATTTCCTGTGCTGTTAGAGTCTCATTCAGGAAGTCTTTGCCTGTGCCTATGGCTTCAAGTGTTTCCTTTTGGTGGTTTCAAAGTTTCTGGTTTTATACATAGGACTTAATTTATTTTGACCTATGTATAAACCTGAAACTTTGAATTGATTTTTTTGTTATTGGGCAAGATAGGATTTAATTTCAATCTTGCACATGTGGATGTCCAGTTTTCCCAACACTGAATGTTGAAGAGGTGATCTGCTCTCTAGCATTTGCTTTTACCCCCTTTGTCAAAAATCCGATGGCTGGGTTGTCTGGGTTTGTTTCTATATCCTCTATTCTTCCTTTGTGTGTTTTGAGGGCAGTAGTGGGGATTAAACCTGGGACCTTCACATTAAGGCACATCCCCAGGCCTTTTTCTTTTCTTTTCTTTTCTTTTCTCTTTTCTTCTCTTTTCCTTTCTTTTCTTTTTACTTTACTTTTCTTTTCTTTTCTTTTTATGTATTCAGTACAGGGTCTTACTCCACAGGGTCTCACTATGCAGCTTGGATTCATAGTGATCCTCCCGTTTTCAGCCCCCCCAGCATTGGGGTTACAGGCATGCACCCACATGCCTGAGAACGGCGCTGGCTCAGCATGTGGTGCTGGGGATCAAACCCTGGTCCATGTGCTTGCCTAAGCAGGTGCATAGTCCATCAGGCTGTCTTGCTGGCCCCCTTTTTTTCACTTTTTATTTTCAAACATGGTCTTCATATGTTCAGGCTAGGCCTGGACTTGTCTTCTTCTTGCCACCATAATCTCAGAGTGCTGGAATTACAGGCTGGTGCCACCAGATCCCACTTTCTGTTCTATTCTATCTTTTTTTCCCCTTTGTACTGGGAATTAAACTCAGAACCTTATGCTTGCCAGGCAGCTGCCTCCCTGACTCCCCAGTTCTATGTGTCTATTCAGTCAGCACTACCATGCTGTTTTTGTTACAGTTTCTTTGTAGTATAATTTGAAATTGGATATTGTGATTCCTCCAGCATTTCTTTTTATCCTTGCTTAAGATTGCTGTTTCTGTTTTGGGTTTTTCTTTTTCCATATGAACTTTGGGATTTTTTTCTAGTTCTGTGAAGTATACCATTGGCTTTTGATAACGATTGTGTTGAATCTGTACCTTAATGCTATGTGATTACCCTAAGCTCCAGAGTGTGTTGTTTCTATTGAAACATATTCTAGTAGATTAATAACTGTAAGGTAATGGGGAAGAGTGAAAAAAGCAATGACTCTGGAGTGGATGGACCTGAGTTTGAATCTTGGTTTTTCCAACTCATAGTCTGAGTGACATGAACACATAGCTTGCAGTTAGTGCCTCAGTTTTGTGTCTGTAAAGTGGGAAAGCCCATAAGTGAGGGAATAGGTAGACAGTGCTGGGTATGCAGAAGGACCCAGTTACCTGTGTTTATTTCCTCTTCCCTTCATGCTAATAGGAAGAAATCACATACAGTCAACTCTCTGGATATATGGGTTGTGCTTTCTCAGATTCAACCAATCAACCATGTCTTGAACATAGGGGAGTGGAAAGAATTGTCTATACTGCCCATGTACAGAGGACTAATCCCTAAATGATATATACAACAGTTGCTTGAATACCATTTACATTGTGTTAGATGTAAGTAGTCTAGAGATGATTCAAAATACACAGGAAGGGATATATAGGTCATATGCAAACATAACAATTTATAAAAGAATTTGATTTTTTTACAGAGATTAAAACAATTTTATTTTATTTTTTTCCATAATTTTATTGAGAAACAAATAACAATGAGACAGTTTCACACCATATTGGTAGAACAGTTTCAATAATTAACACATTGCATACATTCTTCCTAGAGGTTAATTGTTGTACAAGATGTGGACTTGATATCCTATTTACAAACACCATTAGAACAAATCCCTCTATTCACTAAGAGAATGTAACTATATATCTATCCTAACCACTTTTAATACACAGATACAAAATGGACATTCATCTGTATCCCCTTTTTTTGTTAAGTTCCATCATTTAAATATTATAGGTGTGTAAACTCAGCAAAATATTCTAAAAGGTTTCAGTAGTCCATAATAGTATTGGGTCTTCTGTTTAACTGGCAATGTCAGAAATTTTTGACCTGAGTCCCCTGCAGCTCAACATAACAGCATGTCTTCACTTCTTATATTTTGTTTTTATACTTTTCTGCTGGATGGTTAAGACCAAGGTAAAGCAGGACCTATGCAACAAGAGTTGTAGCTTTTGGGTCTGATAAGGTCAGTGAAATCCTCTCAGGATTTATCCTGAGATCCTGTACCTCAGATTGTAGAACCTTTGTCAGTGTCAGTCATGTGGATGTTACAGCCATTGCTTGGCCAGTGTGCTCTCTGTGAAAGCCTGAGAGGATGTTTTCTCTCCACGTGACTCTCCTTAGGCACACTCTACATCATCAATCACTTTCCTCTTTGGCCCCATAATCTCCTTGATCAGAAAATTTAGGACGTGCCGAGTTACATGATGTTACAGTACAAGTTCTCCTATGTCCTGAGTCTTAATTTGAATGCTTTCAGAATTTAGAATCCAAGGAGTTCTGGAACTACCCTCATAGACACTGAGGGATGACTTATTTGTATTTTGGGATGGGGCTTTCACCAACTCAGGAAATCATCACGCATTTATTGTTTTCAAGTTGAAAGTTGTGTTTATCATGAAAGAGATTTGATCATGAGAAAAACCAGACATTCTTGGGATGGCCAGGGTGTGTCTGGTGGGTCCAGAGTATCTCTCCACTGGGAAGGGTTTAGACCTCCTTACTTCTCAGAACACCAGATTGCATTTCAGTGCTCTGGTATTCACATGCCCAGTGGTTGGGAGCAAAGTGGGGATTCTTGGGTGGCTTTTGTTGCCTCTGACCCCTCTCCCTCTGTGAGTTAGTATTTGCTCAGGAATTTTGAATCTGAGCCATACATGGCAGTCATTTATCTACCTCATCCATATGGGGTGCCTGAATTTTCAGAGTTCTGGTCTTCTCTATCAACATTCACCTTGCAAAACAGCCTTGTGAACTTGTACTGAAAGGCACAGCAGAAAAAGAGAAAAAATATGTTTTTGTTTAAAACAACTTCAGTAAAAATGTTGTGCCCAAAGGAGAGCTGAGGGGATCCTGAGGGGATGTGTAGTAGCTGGGCTTGCTGGTCTGTTCAGTATGAGTACAGTGATATGTAGTCATTGCCGGTGTGACACCTCCTTACCTCTGAAGCATATTTCAGCTATGGGAGACCTTGGTGCTGCCTAGGAGAAGGTGCTCATTTTGCCATGAGGAGAGAGAAGTTGGGCTTCCTGTGGTTCTGCCTAGGTGTTTCTTGTCAGTGATTGGGATCTAGGAGCTCTAAATTTAAAAAACATTTCTTGGCTCTGTGTTTTCCTCTCTCATTTTAAATTCTGTCCTGTTTCCCAGGGAGTCCTTGAGGAGCAGCTGGCCCTGGGTGGGGACCAGGCCTACAACGCGCACTTTGGGGAGAGCATTGCCAGCCTGGGAGATCTTGATGACGATGGCTTCCCCGGTGAGCGAGGTCTCCGCGGGACTTCAGAGCTCCTCCAGGAGCAGCGTCAGCCCCGTGTCAGAATCTCAGGCTGCCCTCTGACTTTGTCTTCTTGTTATGACTGCTTCTAGAGCTGCTGGTCCACAACTGAAAGTCCCTCAGAATTTTATGGGGAGTGAGGAAACTCTTAGAGATGTTGGCCATGTAAACACCAAGAGTTGAGTGCTGAGCCCACTGAGTTTTGCTTTTGCACAGCCCTTTCTTGTCAGCTCAGCCCTCTTAGCTCTGCCTCTGAGTGGAAGCCAATCTCAGGATGGGTCTTCTGGCTTCTGGTGCTGGAGAAGTTTGATGAGCTTTCTCCTGCCACCACTTCTTTTTGTTTCTGAGTTCTAGATGCTCCATAATGGTTTGCCACGTTTTGGAAGAAATAAATGAGGACAGAATTAAACTCCTCCCCCCAATAGTTGTGGCTTTGTAGGGTCGGTATAGGGTGGAGGTGTAAGGACCTAATGTCCGCTTGTGCTTGGACCCTAGGATCCTTCATTGCCCTTTGGCTTCTGGCCTGTTAAGTACCTATTCCTTCACTGTATGTGCAGTGTACAGACCTTAGGTGTTAGGGGAGCCACATCCACAGATGAGTATCTGAGCTCCTTTGCTACCTCATCCCTCTGGGAGAAGGAGAGGTAGAAGAGGGGGGAGAGGAAGAAGACCAACATATGAGTGTCTATCTTGAGATCATGGGGTTGCATGCTCTCTGCCCTGAAGCACAGTTCTTCAGACACATGACTCTTATGAGAAGCAAGGAGAAAGAAGGAAATTCCTGGGCTTTGATCCAGGAGCTGTCATTTGTGAGAGTAATATTGATTTTCCTTTTGGAGAAATTAATTATAGTATGTAAATTTTCTTTATCTAGGAATCAAGCTGACTTTCTCAGTTATGCAATACTCATTGCCTATGGAATTCACCTCTGAATTTTGAGATAGGTAGAGGGTCTCCCTAAGTTCCCCAGGCTGCCTCAGCCTCCCGAGTGCTGGGATTATAGACATGAACCATTACATCCAGCTTGTATTTCTTTAGATCAGTGTTTCATTGCTTTTTCTTATGAGGATGAGGTAGAAACTTCTCTGGGACCAACGTTCTCTCCGCTTCTGTAATGTTCTTTTTGTTTCTTCTGCTAAGAGATCATATGTCCAATTTAAGGCTTAAATGGTTAGCCATGAGTTTTTGGGATCAGGGGCCTCTGATGAGAAAACTGGAATTAAGAAAAATCATACATGTTACTCCACAGGGCATTTCTGACCTATGGTTGTTTTTTCCCCTCAGATGTGGCCATTGGCGCACCCAAAGAGGATGACTTTGTGGGTGCAGTCTACATCTACCATGGCGATGCTGGAGGGATCATCCCACAGTACTCAATGGTAACTGGAGTGGGAATGACATGGTAACTGTGTGTGTGTTCATTCAGTGAACATGTATGGACCCTTCAGTGTGTACCATATTCTGGGGGTTACCTTTCCTGTGTACCACGTTCTACTGTGAAAGTACAACATTGGGCTTATCTTCTGGCATCCACCTTCTAGTGAAAGAGTAAAGTAGTTGGTATTACTTATTAAATATAAAAAGGATACTCATAGCATCCTGACACTATTCACATTCAGAGATACCTTTGGCCTACACAAAATAATAACCTCATTTTTACCCCAAATTTGAGCTACTTGAGAAACTAAAGTTTCTTGGTTGGGGGTCTCCTTCACCAACCACATGTGTGTTAAGTCAAAGAAATATCATTAAAATATAATCAAGAAAGAGACTGATCCACAGAGGAAGGCCTGAAAGATCTCATGGATTATTGTCATACTTGTCATCAAAACCAGGAGCTGGCCAAAGCTCTAGCCTCACCTCGGGGTTGGGAACATGGAAGTGGTGAGTTCTGATTTTGTGCTGTATCAGCTCTATATTCAGTCTGCTGATGGCATCAAGCCAAAAAGCGAAAAGGAAGTCACACTCTGGACAGAAGCATTGTCAGGACATTTGTGGATGTGTGTAGAGCGGCACTGGTCCGTGTCTTTCTACCAGCAGGTCAGTGACGAAAAGGACAGCTCATATGGAGAAATGTTCAGTCAGCAAATAGTTCTCAAGCACTTAAGTGCTAAGTGTGTTATTTGTATTTACACATATGTATTTATACTTTGAGTTTAACGACAGTTTATAAAAAGGACAAGTTCACTGTCTGCTGGTTGCCTTCTTGGCTCAATGCCTTGCCTATGAGAAGAGGGCCGTTGCTGAGGCCTGCTCTACCCTTTCCTCACTGTGAAGCTTCACAGCAGCCATGTGAGGTGGGCATATTGATCATCCACTGTTTCTCTCAGAGGTTTCTGTGACCCCAGGGGAGGTATCTAAGTTGCTCAAGGTACTAAGCAGCAGCATGGCTGTGAAACTTTCCTAGTTTGACTCCTGAAACTGCTCATAATCATCATCCTCAGCTCCATATTGGAAAAAGTTCCACTCAAAGAAGGTCAATAGGAACACTTAGAGATATAGAAACTTACTTGGCTATGAAGCACATGTACAAGGGACCCTCTGTCCACATGGGCCAACCTCTTTTCATCCGAAATCAATATAGTCATATAAGAGTAGTAAGCTCTTAAGCTATCCCCGCTAACATGGCAGAAGGAAGAGGCTTTGGGCAGAGTGTGGGGCCCACATGTGCATCATAGGAGCCACCCTGGTCTGGCCTGCTGCTCCCAGTGTGACAGGCTGAGAGTCATCTGAGGACCTGGTGCTTGGGTGGAGGTCAGGGTCGTTCTCCATACATCCTGCTGGAAGTTTGTTCCTGGACTCGGAAGCTGATCACACAGGGGACAACCTGTGCAGGACCCCACTTCCCCTCCGCCCAAGGCTCTACAGTGTTTTGTTTTGTTGCTGGGAGGAATCCCCACCCAAAGCTGGAGTATACATTTTGTGGTTAGTGTGGAGTGTCTCCAGTAGGAAGCTGGATCAGCAGCTGGACCGCCCTGCCTTTGTCAGCAGGC